AAGGGGATGAAGGAGGGAATGACATTGTAGATGGTGAGGCCTTCCCAGGAGATTTCATGACTCCTGTCCCCGTCCATTACATGTATGGCTGGCTTGGAGCTTATTTTCAGACACATATCTAACAACCAAAGAGTTAGAGGACACTGTGTGCCAAATTTTGCTGAATATTGTGGGGCAGAAGGCAATGTTCCATCCCGCAGGCCATGCACGTAGCTTATTCTACAATGATCACCACCACATGACCTGGGTGGCGTTCCCTGTTGAAGGCCTCACAAAGCGCGTGTATGTTGAAAAGTTGAGCCACAACCTAGATGGTGACTTAATCAACCCAAAAGAATTGATGTTTATTCTAAGTGTGAGAGGCGGAGTTCTTACCTATCGCACTGTCCATACATGAAGCTTTAGGGCTACTTTCCTCATTTTCCTCATCGGTTTGCCTGAGAGCATGGGCTAGATCAAGGCTGTCCATTCTCAGTATTCTTTGAGAAATAACATAACAAGGCTGCTCGCTGGAAGAAGGACCAATTGGGAACCCTCAGGGAGATTTGGCTCCAAAGGAACATTGGCACCGCTTGGGCCACATGCTTGGAGGCCACCAAGGTAAATAAGTATGTGGTGCCCCATTTTTAGCAGGGCTGTAAGAGCAACCGAGGCCCACGAGCTTTGGTGGAGGATCACCAAGAAGGAGTACTGGGACGTGGAACACCCTTGGAAGGGGGACGGTGGCTGCTGAAGCCAAGATACAAGGCAGTGGAAAATAACTATGACCACTCCCCTAGGTTAAATCTTTACCGTGGGCTTCCCTCATGACTGGCGCACGATCGGGCGGCCTCATCAGACTGTCGTGGACGAGACTTTGTCGCGGTTTTTCAATATGGAGAAAGGGACAGAGAGCTTTTTTGACAGCCTCTCTGACATCTTCAAATGGAAGGAAGGTTGCAAAGTCCCAGGGCATGAAGGGCGTTCGGTCCAGGATTTGAATGACCTGATAGGGAGCGGCTCTCATTGCAAGTTAGCCACCAGTTCTTGCAAGTCCGACACCTCGAAGGTTGCTGCACCCGAGAAGGCAAAAGGAAAGAAGAGGAAGTGGGCTGCCCCAACGACTCCTTGTGTTCCTACCAAGAAGGCGACCAGGGCTTCGGGGCGCAAAGGGCATAAGGTTCCAGTGGTTCGTGAGCCAGGAGACAGCTCCTCACCCTCGGCTTCTTTTGGAGGGTTGTGTGTCTCCTGTGATTTCTGCATTGCCCTCTGCTCATGAAGCTTTGCCTTCTCCTTCACCTAAACCCTCTTTTGACCCTTCAGAGGCTCGAGCCGGCATCTCAGATCCTACTGCCCCAATTGATATTGCTTCAGATCGAGAACTGACGTCCATGGCTGAAGGAAAGAACTCAGTCCCAATGGAGGTGAACGGAGCTGATGAGGCGGTGGAGGCACTGAGGGTCTCTGAAGCTCCGAAGACTATCGAGGTAAGGGAAACCCTAGTAGAGCTTGTGGTCATAGAAGAGGATGGAGCCCCAGGGACTGAGGAGGGAGCACCCGAACAACAGTTGATGGCTGCCTTGAGTGATGTATCTGTGGGGGATGCAAAAGCAACATGCCTTGAGGGATCAGGCGAGGCGGTACCCATGACTGTAGAGGAAGCAGGCGCCGTGGGTGAGCCTATTGTAGAAGCGATTGCCGTGGAGGACAAGGGTAAAGAAGGAGATGGGGAAGGTGTCGAGTCTGTCGAGGTGGAGATGGTTGTTTGAGAAGAGGGGACACAAGGAGAGATCGCAGCCATGAGGGAGGAGGCTACCATGGTGCAATCTGAGATTGAGGCAGTGACTCCAGGCGAGGAGGCCTGCCTTGCCCCGGCTACTGTTGCGGTGATTGCAGAGGGTGCAGTTACAACACCTGAGCATGAGAGGACCGAACCTGAAGTGCAGCTTGTGGACACGGTGGGGGCTTGTGTAGAGGGCAGTTTGTGGCACTACCGAGTATAAATGGGAAAACCCCTTTCTACTATTTTTACCAAAGGGTATAACAGTTAAAGCGTTTGTAGAGAGAGAGAGCCTGAGCTTCTGAGAAGATACTTCCGACGACAGTTTTGGAGCCAAAGTTTGCAGCAGTCAAGCCTTCAAGGGCTTTTCGGTGAACTCGAGCAGGTCCAGCACCTCGTATCATGCTTGCGGATACTTTTGAAGAGTGCCAAGGCTTTCTGAGCAAGGAACATGGTTCCTCAGGGTCTTAACAAGATTTGCAGAGGTGCTCTACCATAGTTCCGATGCCGTCTTCGATAGTCCCATGGCTGAAGGGGAGGTCGTAGAGAAGTCATAGGAGTCTGACGGTCGTCTAGGTATCAAAAGCAAAGAAGGAGTAGTAGTAGTGGGCTCATAGGTAATTCAGTGGAATTCCGGTGAGTTTGTGGCAAACTGTCGAAACGAAAATATAGGGAGAGGGGAAACCCTCAGAGTCTCTGGGAAGCTTTCGAAGATTTTGAGTGGTTTTTCGCTAACTCTGGTAATGAGTAGAAGGCGGGAAAGGGCTTTTCGATGAACAGGAGCGAACTCCCGATGAAGAGGGGAAATGCCTGTGGGAACCCAAGGGGTCGCAGGATTGCAATGGTTGAGAGGGGAAGGGTTGTGGGAAAGGGAACGATCACCCTTCGCACGCGTGGTGATAGGCCACGTCACGATTGTCAGGCAGCGTACCCAGATTTCAAGGGATGTGGTCGTTACTTGTGCGACGCATGCGAACAGGTGGAGCACGAGCGTTTCTGATAGTCCCATGGTCGCGGGACGGCGATACCCTCTTCTGGTTGCGAGACGGCGAAAGCCCTACCTTTTGCGCAAGTCCATACCAACCCAGCGGGCAGACGGTTAAAGTCCTGCCCTTGGTTACGAGATGACGATAGCTCTGCCTTCTGCACATGATGATACCATCCCAATGGGCAGACGGTGAAAGTCTTGCCCTTGGTTACTGGACGACGATATTACGCCTTGAGTGGGCAGTCGGCGATACGCCTTCGTGAGCGTGGTTCATCTTAGCTGCTTAGCGTCTTTTAGCAATGATGCCTTTGATATGATGGCCCAGTCTTCAGGTGCTAATCCAGAAATAACGAACCTCCCGCGAGCAAGGGAGCTTGGCACTGATGTCTTCATTGGCAAAAGCTTGGTGAGAGGCGAGCCCATTTGGCTCACCGAGGCTTTATGTGAATCGAGGTGGCCCTTGAGCGTCACCTTTGTGAGCGACCTCGTCTGGTTGGTGATACAAGAAGATAGCGATGGTAATGTGAGTATAGAGGAAGGGGTAGGCCTTTTGCATTGCCTGCACCGAAACATAACCTTTAACTCGAACTTGCCAATTCTAGGCAATCGAATGGTAGAAACCCCAGGCATGAAATGGTCTTCTGCTGGCCTACAGGTACAAGGAGAGAACCAATACCTGAAGGGGTACTCGTCACGGATCAAGAAAGTGCTGAGGCAATTCAGGAATATTTTGAGGCAGGCTTACCTGCTGGCGGCCCTCCCTGCTGGTCGCGATCCAGTGCTTGACGGGCTACAACGACTGTTGCTAAAATACAATCAAAGTGCTGTTGGAAACTTGGAGATATGTTAGCAACACATGGCTGCTTGGTAATGGGGAGGCAGGGAAGTCGCTGATGGACCTGCACTTCATTGGTGGGTTGCCGCTTCTTGGTGCTATGTATGATGAGTTTATTCCTCTGAACTCAGTCATTTTTGGAGGGGAAAAGGTAGGCAAAGAAGCCCCACCTGCTGGGCTTCGGGAATTGTTTGAGATCTTCCAACAACTTTATAATGAGCCCAAAAAGGGGCGAGTTACCTTCCCCAAGTGGGTCACCTTTTTTTGCGGCAACTATACAGATGAAGCTGGTCTGTCGCCGAGAAAAGAAGGGAAGGAAACTCCACCAATTTTCAAGCTGCGAAAGGAGAACAAGCATGTCGTCTTGGCGGCTTACTTGGTACTCTTCTTATGTAAATTCACCCTGCCAGGAGGGGCAGACGTCATTCGACCCGACACTTTTTATGTGTTTTGTGATATGGCATGGGGAAAGGGGTATGCACTCGCACAACCTGTTCTGTGCAGTATTAACCATGGCTTGGGAGCCATTTTCAGGGGAAGACAATATCAAGGGGATGAAGGAGGGAATGACATCGTAGATGCTAAGGCCTTCTCAAGAGATTTCAAGACTCCTGTCCCAGTCCATTACGTGTATGGCTGGCTTGGAGCTTATTTTCCAGACACATATCTCAAAACCAAGGAGTTAGAGGACACTGTGTGCCGATTTTGGCTGAATATTGCAAAGCAGAAGGCAATTTTCCATCCCGCAGGCCATGCACGTAGCTTATTCTACAGTGATCACCTCCAGATGACCCGGGTGGCGTCTTGGAGGCCTCACAAAGCGCGTGTGTGTTGACAAGTTGGGCCACCACCTAGATGGTGACTTAGTCAACCCAAAAGAATTGATGTTTATTCTGAGTGTGAGAGGCGGAGTTCTTACCTATCGCACTGTCCATACATGAACCTTGAGGGCTACTTTCCTCGTTTTCCTCATCGGTTTGCCTGAGAGCATGGGCTAGATCAAGGCTATCCGTTCTCAGTATTCTTTGAGAAATAGCATAACAAGGCTGCTCGCTGGAAGAAGGACCAATTGGGAACCCTCAGAGAGATTTGGCTCCAAAGGAACATTCGCACCGCTTGGGCCACATGCTTGGAGGCCACGAAAGTCAATAAGTATGTGGTGCTCCATTTTTGGTAGGACAGGAAGGGCAACCAAGGCCCACGAGCTTTGGTGGAGGATCACCAACAAGGGGTACTGGGACGTGGAACACCCTTGGAAGGGGGACGGTGGCTGCTGGAGCCAAGATACAAGGCGGTGGAAAATAACTATGACCACTCTCCAAGGCTAAATATTGACCCTGGGCTTCCCTCATGACTGGCGCAAGATCGGGCGGCCTCACCAGACTGTCTTAGATGAGTCTTTGTCGCGGTTCCTCAATATGGAGAAAGGGACAGAGAGCGTTTTTTACTACCTCTCTGACATCTTCAAATGGAAGGAAGGTTGCAAAGTCCCTGGGCATGAAGGGCGTTCGGTCCAGGATTTGAATGACTTGATAGGGAGCGACTCTCATAGCAAGTTAGCCACCAGTTCTTCCAAGTCAGGCACCTCGAAGGTTGCTGCACCCAAGAAGGCAAAAGGAAAGAAGAGGAAGTGGGCTGCCCCAGCGACTCCTCATGCTCCGGCCAAGAAGGCGACCAGGGCTTTGGGGCTCAAAGGGCATAAGGTTTAAGTGGTTTGTGAGCCAGAAGACGGCTCCTCACCCTCGGCTTCTTTGAAGGGTCGTGTGTCTTTTGTTATTTCTACGTTGCCCTCTGCTCTTGAGGCTTTACCTTCTCCTTCACCTAAACGTTCTCCTGACCCTTCAGAGCCTCGTGCCGACATCTCAGATCCTACTGCCCCAATTGATATTGTTTTAGATCGAGAACTGACGTCCATGGCTGAAGGGAAGAGCTCAGTCCCAATGGAGGTGACCGGAGCTGAAGAGGAGGTGGAGGCAGTGAGGGTCTCTGAAGCTCCGAAGTCTATCGAGGTAAGGGAAGCCCTGGTAGAGCTTGTGGTCATAGAAGAGGATGGAGCCTCAGGGACTGAGGAGGGAGCACCCGAACAACAGTTGATGGCTGCCTTGAGTGATGTATTGTGGGGGATGCAGAAGCAACATGCCTTGAGGGATCAGGCTCAGAGATCCTAGAGGCAGTACCCGTGACTGTAGAGGAGGCAGGCGCCGTGGGAGAGCCTATTGTAGAAGTGATTGCCGTGGAGGACACAGGTAAAGAAGGAGATGGGGAAGGTGTCGAGTCTGTCGAGGTGGAGATGGTTGTTCAAGAAGAAGGAACACAAGGAGAGATCGCCGCCCTGAGGGAGGAGGCTAGCATGGTGCAACCTAAGATTGAGGCAGTGACTCCAGGAGAGGAGGCTAGCCTTGTCGCGGGTACTGTTGTGGTTATTGCAGAGGGTGCCGCTACAACACCTGAGCATGAGAGGACCGAACCTGAAGTGGACTCCTGAAGTGGACACGAACCTGAAGTGAACCGAAAATCTCCAAATGGGCACAGGTGCTTGCGGAGGTTGAGGAGGAGACGACAGCCTGGGAAGCCAAGATAAGGAGCTAAGCCAAAAGTTACTGGACCTCGAGTGCTCCTTGAGGGAGCAGCTGATTCTAGTGGACCATGAGGCCAAAATGGTGGCTGAATTGGGGGTCGATATTGAGCAAGTGAAGGCCTCAGTCGAAGTGTGTAGAGGGAATGTTAATGAATTCATTGACCACTTTTGACAGTGCGTCCTTTCCATGTATTCTTTCAGTAAAGAAAGGATCCTTGTAATATTTTCTTTTGATGAATGAAATAGTTCTTTTATTTTCTATGCGATGCATGTCTTTTATTTTTCTTCTTTTTCTATTTCTTTGCTTCCTCCTTTCATAGTTTGAGATGCAAAAGAAAAGTCCACTACTTGCTTCATCTTATGGCAGCCTGTTGTGGCTTCAAAGACCTCGAATGGGGGAGCATCTACTTCCTCACCTTTGAGTGTTTGATTGGACAGGGGCTCATAATTCATGGTTCTCATTATTTGGTGAGCCTATTAGTTGTAAATACTCCAATTTGGGGGAACCTTGGCTTCTATTTAAGGTGCATTGCTTTTGAGCTTGTCATAGGTTTGAGTTTCCTAGATGAATCCCTTTAAGTGCTTTGAAGCAACACGCATAACCTCCAACTGATTCTGAAGGCTACGAACCTCACTTCTCAACTCTGTCATGGGGTCTTGTTCCTGAGGGCCAGAGGGTTGACCTTGTCCATCTGTACCTCTTCGGGAGCCTATGAGAGATGTAGGACCTTCTCATGCCTGCTGATGATCCCCTTGTTTAATGGGGATGGAAATTGGAGTACCTTCCTTAGAGGTTGGCGTGCCAATTTTGCTTCTAAAGGTGCAATGGGGATATGCAAGACCTTTCACTGATCCGGCTTATAGGTGACCTCAGTGCTGGAAGGTCTACCTCTAGGGCTTCCTCTAGCTCAGATGTTACTTCTAACTTGTCATTTTGTTCTCGTGATTTAGAAGTAGAGGGGGAAGCTTCGTCTTCGAGAGAACATACCATGACCTCGGAGAGGTGGCAAGGTATACTCGGGTGGATTGGAGTCAATGAGAAGATCTTGCCCTGTCTTTCCTCTTCTTTGAACATGTCCACGATCATTCACCCCAGATCTTCAATATCGTCTTGAGGCGAGGGTCCTATGTCTCTCATAGGCTTCCAATCATCATCCTTTGACTTTTATGGCGCTGAAATATCTATGAAGTAGTACTTGGCATCGGCATGGTGAGTTTCAGCTACAGGGAACGGTCTTTTGTCAGCATAGACCGTGTGCTATCTTCCATCTCAGCTGTATTTGAAGCATTGGTGGAGCATGGAAGGGACCACCCCCTGATCGTGAAGCTAAGGGCGACCAAACAGGATGTTGTAAGAGGTATCGGTGTCGATTACATGGAACTGAGCCTAATCGTTGAAGTCACTGATCTTAAGACAAAGGCGCACTGTGCCAGCTGGCTTCTCTTCTAATTGGTTGAACCTTGCATAGTAATGTGGGTAGGAGTGAGGTCGTCAGACCCTAATCCCAATTGGGTGAGGATCCTTCTTGGGATCAGGTTGACTGTTGACCCTCCATCTACCATAATCCGATTGATAGAGCAGGAGTGCAGTTCACCATTCACAAAGAGGGGCCGATTGTGGAACTTGCTTCGCAATTGAAGGTCATCTTTGGAAAAAGAGATTGCCAAACACCCACTCAAGATGGATGGCTGGGTCAACTTCAATGGGTTCCACTTCGGTCTCATGCACCTCTGGGTTGGAAAGAGCTTGAACCAGAGCCATACGATAGTCCCCAGACAGCAGGAGGGCATCATAGATACTTAGAAGGGATGGAAGCTTTATTAGATGCCCAATTACGTCGTATTTCACTTTATCCTCATTAGTCTTATGTGTTCTTGATCCAGTCACTGGTGTAGGTGGTAGGGTAGGCTTAGGAACAGGCTTTGGTTGGGTTTTGGTTTGTGGCACTGACTGACTTTGTTGCTCAGTCGATGTGGCCTGGGTTGATGAGGAAGTAATAGGTACTTGTATTAGGGATGTAGAGGAGGTTTAGGCTTAGGGAAAAGTGAAGGATCAAGAAATTTGAGGACCTTGAGCTTTTGAGGTATGGGTTGTAGCTTCTTTCCTAATCTTAGACCCATTTGCCCCATGCAGTTTGGTACTTCGGAGGGCTGACTTGGGTGCTCGCAGCCTCCTTTTAGATCCCTGAGGAGGTGTTTGGACTGCCCTTTGGGCTGGTGAGTAGTCCTAGCTTGGTGGACTGCTTCACACTTTAGGGATTTGAGCCTGCATCGCCTTCCTAGGGCTGAGAGGTCGAGGGCTCTGAAGGGTCCAGTGTATGCTCATGAGGGACCGACATCATGGTCTCCTCTTTGACAGGAGCGATGCTCGAGGAGAATGACACAGATGATGCGGCCTTCTTGTACCTTCTGAGTGACTAAAGCTTCGAACCCAGAACATTCTTTTAACTCGTGGCCCATACTTGATGATATGGGCACTAGAGGTTTTCCATACCTTGGGCAAGACATTTAGGCTGCCTGGAGGGCTTGCGAGTAACGAGACCCTGTTGGAGCATTGCCTCGAAGAGGGCCCACAGAGGGTCTGGCTCAGTGCTTCTCAGGGCTTGTGTCGAGGGTTCTGCTTGCACTAGCGGAAGAGGGTCTTGAGGGCGCCCTTCTGGGTTACCATGAACTTCCTGACATTGTTGCATCTTCTTTGACAAGAGTTAATGGAAGCCAGTGCATTCGCTCATTTCATGGCCTCATATCTGGTGGTACGCGCACTAGAGGTTCTCAATTCCTGGAGATAGGAGCTTAGGTTTCCTTATCGGCTTGAGTGTGACGGGTCCTTCTTCGAGCATTTTGGAGAAAAATGCACGGAGGATAGTGAGTGCATCATCACCCTCTTGGATTGTCACTATATGAGAAGCCTCAGTTGCCCCGAATGCCTTCTTTAACTCTTCAAGCTTTATCTAACTCTTGTTAATAAGGGATTTGATAATGTCGTTGAGTTATAGCAGTCGTGAGTAGGGTGGCCTACTCTTCTGTGATAGGCGCAATACCTCTCATTTGTCTTCTGACCAGCCGGCTCATCGGTGTTGACCTCCGGTTGCTGGATCATGTTTTGTTCTAATAGTAGTCGAAGTAGTGCAGACGTCCACTCCTTGTCGAAAGGGTAAACTTTGTTCTGGTGTTGGATCCAGAATTCATTTCGTTGAGAATTTTTAAGAGGGGGGACCTCATTGTAGGACTGTTGCTTGCCCCAAGCCTGAGGCATCTCTGCCTTGGAGAGGTCCAAGGTTTGAGGATCCACGCTCTTAGCATCAGTCACGGTGACGGCTGCTCTAATCACTACCTTTTGGTTACCTTGACTGTTGGAGCAAAAATTTGAGGACGAGAGCTGCCATGGTGCTTGAACAATTTCTCAATTGGATGCCTCAACATGCAGAGCGATCTTAGGAAGCATGTTCTGTATGTAGGTCTAGATCGCTTCCTTCTCAGTCATGAGAGTGGCATGAAAGGTTGTCAGCTCTCTCCATCGGGCGATGGACTTGTCAACCGGCTCACTAGGGTCTTGCATCAGAGTAAGGAGCTCGATGGTTTCCACATTCCTTTGGACTTCTTAGAAGCATTGGTAAAACAATTGCTCCATTTCTTGCCACGTGTGCACCGAGTTTGGTGGTAGGCGAGCATACCACAGCAAGGCTGGCCCTTCAAGAGTCTCTACAAATTGACAGAGGAGAAGTTGCCTGTCAGTTGGAAGTGGGTAGTATGTTAATGAGGGGACAAAGTACTGTTGAACAGAGGAAGTTTCCCTTTTTGGTAGCTTGGGGGAAACGACACCTGATTAATGTATGAGGGGTATGGCTTCTGGTAGAAAGACACCTCCTGCATGCCTGAGATCTTGTTCCTGAGGCTATGGGCCACCATAGCATCTATGTCAGTTTGAGAGACCCCGCGAGAGGCAGAACTGCCTTGGAAGGCCGGTTAGGGAGTTTGCTTGGGAACCGTGTCCTCACCGGTCAAGGAATCGGTCAAAGAAGGGGACCTCGAGGCTTCTAGGCATTCCATCCTTTCAAGGATGGATTGCATCATTACCTCAAACTTATTCATCCACTGTTCTTGAGCGTCATCCAGATCATTTGTCACCATGACACTGACCGTCTCTTCTGGAGGGTCAGAGCCTGGTGGAGCACTGAACTGCCATGGTTGGTGAGTCGTAGTTGGCAAGTCAGTCTGCAAGGGTCCAACCTGCCCCGAACTGAACTCGAGCCTTGTATGTCAATCTTGTGAGGACCGACTTTCGACGGTCTTGGGACCGTGGCTTTTGGGCAGTGATGAACGAGCAATACTCTTGGACCTGCTTAGGTTCTAGAGTTTGAAAAGGGAAGAAGGGATTATGAGGCAGGAGATCACCAAGGGTGGTGACCTCAACTGCCTTGGAGGCTTCTTTGGTCAGGATCTGCACGCCATTCTTTTACTTAATCTTGAGGCGGTTGTAGACTTCATTCCAAAACTGAGCCTGAGACCTGGACTGCCCGTTTTCTTTGAGCATGCGAGGGCCGTGTCCATGAGTTGGAGCAGGGAGTGGGGGACATAAGGAAACCTGGTTTCTGCCTTGGAGGTTGGAGGCTTTTGTCTGACATTTGGCCGCTGCCTCGAATCCCTTTGTGAGGCCCAGGTTCGCTGCTGACCTGAGGCTAGCTCAAGATGGTACTCTTAAGGAAGACCTTTGAGTACCAGGGCTAGAGGTGCTTGCCTGGTGTCATGAGAGTGATAGAGGAAGTAGCTGGTTCATGACTCTGCTAGAGTCAGAACCGGGGAGGAACCTGCAAAGATGGTGCGTGTTCATCCTTAGGGTTAGCCGTCCAAGTGACTTGGGGGTCAACCTAGGCTCGATCAATGGGTTCAACCTGAGGAGGCCGAGA